TGCGATTGGCACAGGATAGAGCAGGGTTTAGGGCTGTTGTACATAGGGTCGCTGTGAGTCGCAAACGACTCGACGGGACATAGCAACAACATGATTGCTTAAATAAAAAATTTGGAGACCTCTGGTGTATACTGTTTTATTTTTGCTGGGGCCTAGTTAACAGAAACATTTTTTATTTCTCAGAGTAGTGCATTTTTATTTTTTTATATTATTTTTATTTATTTCTTTGTCCCTCCCTTCTCTCTCTCCTAGCCCACCCTACTATGACTCCATGTCCCAGATTGTTGTCATGCATATAATGCTTAATCATACATTCCTTTTGGTGCAGTATTCATTTTCTATCCACCCCTTTCCCATTCTCTGCCCAAATCGCCCCTCCTCACTGTCCTGTTTTATAATAGCGATGTTATGCACTGTTTGTACTTTTGTGACTGAGATATTTCACTCACATAATGTCTTCCAGGCTCCCTCATGTTGTGTAATGTTTTATGAGTTCATTGTTTTTCTGTGCTGCATAATATTCCATTGTGTGAACGGACCACAGTTTTTCTATTCATTCATTTGTGGGCATTTGGATTGCTTCCATGTCTTTGCCATTGTGAATAATGGAGCAATAAACATGGGTGTGGATACATCTGTTTGAGTCATGGCTCTGGTTTCTTTAGGGTATATTCCTAGTAGTGGAATTGCTGGGTCAAATGGTATGTCTATTTCCAACTTGTTCAGAAAGCTCCAGATGGCCTTCCATAGTGGTTGTACTATTTTACACTTCCACCAACAGGGAGTAAAAGTTCCAATGTCTCCACAACCTTGCCAGCATTTATTGTTACTGTCCTGTTGAATTTTGTTGTATTGCTGGGGAGAAACTTTAAGCTATGAAATGCTTTCTTTAAACAATTCTATATCCTGCTTTTAATATTATTGTCTACTACCTAGGTGGAACTGACAGCTGACTCTGCAGCAGGCTTTTGGAGGCAGTTAATCACACAAGAGATTACCCATCTTTTTTCTCCTGTGGAACAGCTAATGGATTCAAATCCTGTGCCTTTAGAAATAGTTATTTTTAATATCCTCAAAACTTAATGCTGCAGTGTGGATTGCCATTTATAATGGGAGGAAATTGCCCATATTTTAAGCTTAGAGCTGCTAGTAGTGAGGAACTACCAGAGACTCATAGCTTTTTGATTAGTAGTACAACATGCTATTGACTATTATACCAGAACTCCAAAGACTGATGTAGTTGAGGAGTCAGCCATGCCTTAGGTCTATTTCTAGGTTGGCCAAGATTGTGATAGTGCTTCAGCTGAAATGTTGATTTTGTTGTTTTGGGTTTTTTTTATTTTATGTTTTCCTGTGACCTTTTGTATTGCTCACCACTGAGTATTGCCAGTTTCTTCTCAGACTAAGTGCTAAAACAGTAGCTAGACCTGACCATGAAGTTCTGTAAATCTTTTAAGTGAATGAATGAGATCCAGATGAATACTGGCAATAAATCAGAATCAAGCTCAGACCTAAAATGACTTCCCCTCCTTTAGTTCCTTAAGAATAAATTTGATAGCATGCTCAAACTGAAAAAGGACCCAAAAGATGCTTGAAATCTGCTCTGTTCAGTCTGGTAGCCACTGGTCATGTGTGGTGTTTTGAGATTTTATAGTGTGAAGTGTAAAATGGTGCCAGATTTCAAAACTTGAGTCTGGCTGTCTAGTGGCTAAGGAGTTACACTGCCAACCCAAAAGCTGGTGGTTCCAATCTGCTAGTTGCTCAGAGGAAGAAAAATGGGCACTCTTCTCCCCTGCAATTTGCAGCTTCTGAAAAGTAGTTAAAGGGTCAACTGTGAGTTGATTCCAACTCAATGGCAATTTATTTGTGTTCAGAGTACAAAAGAAAGTAAAATGTCTTGTTAATAAGTATTTGTTAATTACATGTTTTAAGTAATAACTTTGGCATGCTCAATTGAAAAATTATTTTCACGTGTTATTTTTTTTTTTACTGTGACTATATTTTGGAAAAATTACTTCGGCTTCTGTTAAATTTCTATTAAACAGTGCTATTCTAAACTTGAGTGATTTTTGGTTTGTTTTTAAAAATTTTTTTTATTATTATTTATTGTATGTGTACCATTAAATCGGATCTGACTGGTACAGGAGGAGATTGTACCTCCTTCTCCAGCAGAGCATCTAATAGATTCGAACCACGCACCTCTGGATACTCTAGTGATTTTTAAAATATAGTTAATGCATTAGAATTAATGTGGCAAGCTTTTAAGATTATTGAACCCCACAGCAGATAATATAAGGAGCTCTGATGGCACTGTGGTTGAAGTACTTAGTTGCTAACTGAAAAAGGGTGGTGCTAGCTGCTGTGCAGGAATAATTGTGGCATTTTGCTTCCATAAAGATTTTGACTTCAGAAGCCCTATTGCTGCAGTTCTGTGCTGTCTGTCCTATGGGATCACTCTGAGTGAAATAGCAGTGGGCTTGGTTTGGGTTTAGCGAAAAAGGACGTTGCAGACAAGTAATGTGATGTTACTAGGACAGATCAGTCCCAGGGGAAAGACATCACATTTGGTAAATTAGAGGGTCCGTGAAAAAGACGACAGTGAGGCTTGTCAAGATGGCACTGGATCAGGCATTGTTTTTGTTCTATTGTAAGTGTGGTTGCTGAGGATTGGAGCTGACTCAGTGGCACCCAACAACGGTGTAGGGTGTAATTCAGAGTAAAAGCTTGAATTAGTAGACTTGAGTTGTTTTCATCTTCCTATCTTTATGAGCTTGATTAAGACCTGTCTGATCCTCAGTTATTCTGTAAAACAGAAAATATATCTAACAATAAAGGATCTTTTTGAGAATTAAATATTACACATGTACTTGAGAGTGTGTGCATGCGTGCATGTATATGTATGCTTATCTTGTGACTGATAACATAGATTAGGCTCAATAACTTCAGTGAATCTTTTCCTTAAATAAAAATATTAATAGAAGGTGACTCATAAGTTTTAAGTCAACCAGACTTGGTTATAAATAAATATTAGAGTAATTGTTTTTGCAGGTAAGCTAACAAACGTTTCCATAAAAACTCTAGCTTCTTTTCCTTCACTTTCACAAAATCCAAGTCAGAATATACTCAATGGCAGGCATTATGAATTAGATATTCTGAATCCACAACTCTGAAGTAGACTCTAACATGAATGTTTTGATAAAGTTCTGTGATGATTCTGATGTCTCATATGCCTGTCAAAACTCACCCCTCATTTTATAGAAAGGAACTTGAGTTCCTTTTCTAGAAAGGGAAACTAGTAAAGTGACACCAAACCCAGTCTTCATTTTAATATACTGTTAAAAGGTTTGCTTTGCTTGAGTTAAAATTCATGTTGTCCTGTGTTCATAATGGTCCCCCACCCCCCGAGTTCTGAATCATTGGCACTTGAGTTGTTATTAAAGGTAAGATTCTTAGTGACTATTCATTTTGGTTTTTTGAAAATGGATTATATCTTACTTTCTGATACTATTTCTTTATAATGACTATTATTTTTTTTCCTTAAAATGATTTCTTCCCCCTCCCACTTTTGTTATTAGTTTAGTATTCTAAGGGTAAAGTGTGAGATGTGAGTTAATATTAAGATTTTAAATTGAGCAGATCTGGAATTGTCACCATTGGTATAATATTTTTACTGAAGTCAAGGGGGGAAATCCCTCTATTTACAGTATTCACTTTTCTATATAAATTGTACTCATTCTTTGGAGCTCATCTTCCAGACCTCCCCAAGCTCCTTCCTAATACCTCTGGGCAGAGTTCAACATTCCCCTAGGTAGTTCCCCAGGGAGAGGCAAACATTTATCTTTCTAGACTCCTACTTCTATCACCCTTAGACTAAGCTTCTTGCAAGGCCAATGTTTCAACAACGGGGAGGGGGGCGAATAGGCCAGTGCTTCTATAAAGATTTATAAAGAATTCTTTGATGAGTAATTGTGAATGTCTAGGAATAGTAACTATATCCCTGGTGGTCTATGACATTATCTCATATACTTCATGATGGCTCAAGAAATTGGCAGTTAGTTTGTGTAGAAATTGAGCTGTGATCATTATCTTTTGGGTTGCCTTGCCAGTGGAATATATTTCAGCAGGCAGCTCTACCTGCTTACTATTTAGTTTTCTCTTATTTGATCAGGATTATTGGGCAGTGCATTATGGTGCAAGGGTGATTACCATTGTAAGTAATCTCCATTCATTTCAAGCTCAAATCAAGGAGCTTAGGATATTGAAAGACTTTTGAAATTTTGTCTGTGGAAGTTCCAAGGAGTAGTCTAAGAAAAACAACTGAACCAGCAGCTTAGGTCCCAGTGACATTGACAACACTTTGATGACCCTGAGCAAATCATGTCATCCTCTCCATCCTTTGCTTTCTCAGTTAAAAAGTGAGAGTGCTGGAGCTGGTGACTGTTGAGTTCCTAAAGAACATCATGGGTTTGTGACTTGCTTGCTTCTTAAGTATGCTTGTTTTCTTATTAACATTCTTACTTTTCTCTTGAAGGGTCTGATGACTTGTCTGCAAAGCTGTGGGATGTGAGCACAGGGCAGTGCATTTATGGTATCCAGACTCACACTTGTGCAGCGGTAAAGTTTGATGAGCAGAAGCTTGTGACAGGCTCCTTTGACAACACCGTGGCCTGCTGGGAATGGAGCTCCGGAGCCAAGACCCAGCACTTCAGGGGACACACAGGGGCGGGTGGGTTGCAGTTTTTCAAGACATTTTATGATTACTCTGGTCTTACTTTTTTAAAGTCAAAAGCTAGAAATGAGATCTTTTTTTCAATTATTTATTTAACTTGCTTCCTCCTCCTTCCCTCCCAGTTTTCCATCACTGTAGTTATTTCCTCTTATTTGAGTTATTCTCATTTGGAATTTTTAACCTAGTTTTGCTTTCTTTGAGCCCATTTAAAAATTTTTCCATGATCATTTTACCAAAGGCAGCTCTGGTATGTAGGAATTGTGCTGCTAATCTCAGGGTCAGGCCTGTCTACTGGTTCAGATACATTAGCAGCTCCACAGGATAAAGATGAGCAGGCTCCTGTGTGATTTACTCACAGGGTCAGTGATTTATACACAGAAAACCCATAGAAGGTCAGCTATGAATTGGTTCTGATTCTGACTCAGCAACAATGAATTTGTGTTCGATGTTGAAGGGACGATTCTCCCTCTGTCTTGTTTTATTTATAACCTGACTGGACTGGCATAGTGTCTTTGCTTCTGTCTAAGATTCTTTACCTACAAATTGAATAAGGTATGTATTTGGAAATTTAGTCTACATTATTGAATTAGGTTTGAAAAGCCTTTGGAGCAATACTGCTTGCTAGATTTTGTAGTTTGCACTGATATATCTAATTGAAGCTTGATGAACAATTGATTAAGATAAGCAGTGCCTGGAGATACAAGTAAAGAAAGATGTTTGGCTGCTTCATAATAAAAAATATAGCAGCATTTTCCTGAAATCTGGTCATTTGAGTATAGGCTTGGTAGCTGAGCTTCTCCCCTTTTTATGTGGTAGACCTTTGTGTAGAAATTATAATGAGCAATTTCCTAGCATTTTGATACACTAGTTCCTTTCTTTCTGTGCCCACTTACCCACTGTTTTAGCACCTGAAAGTCAGTCTGTGTTCCTAGGTTTTTAATTTTATGCACTCTGGACTCCCTAAACAGTTTGGGTTCCTCTGTTTTAAGCTACCTTGTAACCTGTATTTCTGTCCGAACAGTCATTATACAAGTAAGTGTGATACCAGCCTGTAAATTCATAAGGACAGGAATCTTGCCTGTCTTTACACATCCTTATGTCCATGCCCTTCACATGGTACTGAGTCAGTTTTTTTAAATACAGCCTAGCTGTTCTGTGGCTAAAAAATCCCCCCCAATTTTATTTTCCTATACATTTTCTTTAATCTCTGCTCTCTGCCACTACTTAATTTTAGAGAATAGCATTGCAAGATAATATGACTAAGCATGTTGTTGTGTGCTCTCAAGTTGGAACCGACCCATAGCTGATCCTCCAGCAGGTTTTCAGAGGCAGTAAATTGCATGGAGATTGTCCAACCTTCTCCCATGGAGCAGTTGGTGGATTCGAACCATATGCCTTTGCGATTTTAGTGTAAATTCTTAATACTAGGCCATCAGAGTTCCCTGTGACTAACCATGGAACTTATATATTAAACTCAGTATAACATCTCTAAATATTTGCCAAGATAGAATTTTTTTCCAGGTGGTATTATAACTGATCAAATTTGAGAATTGCTCTATAAACATTCTAGCTGTTCCATGTACATTGGCTTTTCCTAATTCCCTGTCATTGATGTCCCCTCTTTTTGCACTACTCTTTTTCTTTTCTTGGTAAACTAATCCTTCAGGGCCAATCTTGTAAATTGCCTCTCTGAAGTCCTCCCTGATATCCCTGGGAAGAGTTACTTATTCTTGTTGGTGTTTTCCTAGCAAGAGGTAAACATTTTGTCTTTTCGGCATCTTCTCATCATCACCCCATGCTAGCCCTTTGATAGTTATACCTATGCCTTCATGTCTAAAACACCAGTGTTCCCTTAAAACAAGGCAGATGTTTAATAACAACTGTTTGAACACTCCTTATGCTTTAGTTATTATTTCAGATGCAGAAGATACAGCAATGAAGAAGCTCAAACACTTTTTGGAATGAATGGATTAGTCTGATCCATATTTTTGTTTCTCTTTTAATTGGTCTTTCTTGAGTCTAGTTGCATTTTGCAACTTACTTTCTTTACATTTTGTCACACTGAAATGGATATTCTAAGTCTATGTAGAACTAAATGTATCCCACCCCCAGATACATTTTATAGTGTCTATGAGAACATTTCTGAGAAGAAAGGCCATTATCTTTAGCATTGTTTTTATCATTTACTCTGAGGCTAGCACAAATATAAGAGACTGTGTTACGATTTGCAACCTTAGAATAGTAAGCTGTAGCAAACAACAAATACTGGTGAGGTTGTGGAGAAACTGGAACCCTTATTCACTGTTGGTGGGAGTGTAAAATGGTGCAACCACTATGGAAAATAATATGGCACTTTCTCAGAAAGTTGGAAATAGAAATACCATTTGACCCAGCAGTTCCACTACTGGGAATATACCCTAAAGAAACCAGAACAGATAGGTGTACACCATGTTTATTGCTGCTTTGTTCACAATAGCAAAGAGTTGGAAACAACCTAAGTGCCCATTAACAAACGAATGGATAGAGAAGCTCTGGTATATTCACACAATGGAATACAATGCTGCATTGAAAAACAAGGAACTTATTATGAAATATTATATAAAATAGGTGACCCTGGAGGACGTTATACTAAGTGAAGTATCTCAGTCACAAAAGGACGAATACTGCATAGTGCCACTGTTGTAAAAGGGGACTGACATAAGGGTTGTGGGGGAAGACTAAGAAAGATGGGATAAACTATGTATACGCATTGAAACACATGAGGGAGAGAACTATTTAAAAGGGATATATGATTAGGTATTATTGTCATGACAGGAGTCCAAAACAAAGGCTGCATATTGGAGTGGACTTGGGGGGAGGGATTGTATAACAATGAAAGACTTTTACTTTTCAAAGAGCAAACTGGGGGGTGGAG